GGGGGGGGAGGGTGAGCTCTGCCGGCCCGGGCCGCTTTGTAGAGTGGGGAGCGGGTCGCGACGGCCTCGCCTCAGGGCGCCTGTGCCGCGTCGGGCCGTGCTGCGGGGCGGGCGGGCGGGCGGGGGGAGGCCCGGCGACTCGGCGGGGGGTCCCTCCCCGGCCGAGGGCAGCGGCGGGGGGCGCCGGGCCGCTCCTCAGTGAGGCCTGCTGGTGAGGGTCCTCGGGAGCAGGGCAGCTCTCTGCCTCGGCTGTAGGCTTCCAGCGTTGGAGGGGATGATGGGATCTGTAGCTGTGCTCCAGACCTGATTTTTCCGGTTCATTCATGCTGGGTGTGGGCAGTTCCGCTCTTCTACATTTTTGAGTAAGGTGTATCCTCTTCAGAAGTTCTTGTGCATGATTAGATTTGTTTGGTGCTGATACCGGCATGTGTCTCCTAATAATGACATTGTTAAGTCATAGGCATATGTAACAAAACATGGATGCCCTTGTGCTTTTTTTTTAATGGCATAACATAAGAAGTGCTTTGTTTTACTGGTTTATATTTTGGTGTCTTGTCACAGCCTTCCCATGGAAATAAAAGCAGTTGTCAGGAGATATGAAACAAGAAACAAGACAGCAGGAACAGAACTGTCATCATCCAAATCCCGAGTTGATTGGAGACGCACTAAAAGGGAGCTCGTGCTACTTGACAGCAGTGATGAATCCTCAGGCACCTCTGAGGAGGAAGAGCCTACTGCATCAGAAGACAAAGTAGATGAAAAAGATGAAACCGTTGTGAAGAACGGCCTTTCAGTTCAGGAGGAGAAAAGCCACAGTAGGGAAGTAACAGAAGATAGTGAGGATGAGTCCATCGTGCCTGGGAAGCGTAAAAGGTTGAACACCTCTGTCTTGTATGACAGTGATGAAAGTGAGGACAGTGATATACTTGTTAGAAAAGTTTTTGCTAAACGCCACTGTATAATAGATGAAGATGAGAGTTCCAGAGAAGAGCAACCTGACAAAACCTGCCCTACAGAAAACGTTTCTACTGATAAGAAACAGAAAGTGTTTGCAAAATTGAAAGAACTTGCAAGACAAAGAGCAACTCGGAGATCCTACAGCAGTGAAAATTGTGAGGTCTGGATTTTATCTTTGAAATTCAGTTGGAGAAAATACTGAATGTAGAGGAAGGCAAAGACTAATAGATATAAACCAGTGGGATTTTTTTTTATTTTGGTTTGGGTTTTTTTCATGACAAATCAGTAGTTCTGTCTCATTTTAACAGTTATCACGTTAACTAGATAACAGTATTGACTGCTGAAAACCTTTATCTTGAGTTTTAATCACAGGATTTAAGAATTTCCTTTCATTTGCTCTTTCAGGCATTCTGAAATGCTGACTAAGCAGCTTAGAACACAGGTATCTATCTTCTTTATGTAGTCAGGAAGGAAAAACTTCTTCATCATTCCTTTTTTTCTGTAAAGAAGAGACACATGAGAGGACTATCAAATGATTTTTATCAAGAAGCAAAATACCTGCTGAAGTAACTCGGAGATCTCATGTTAGCTTAATTCCTACAAATAGAGTGAAGGGAGGTAAATGGAGATGGCTGATTTAAAGCTGAAAGTAATTGTCATCTAGTACAGAATGATGTATTTTTTGGAAACATTATTTCTTGTTAATTGAACAAATGGTGTTATTAGAAGGTCAAAAATCTTATCCAGTATGTGTAGTATTTCATCAGTGCAAATACTGAAAATTCTTGTGTTTGAAATACTTTTTAAAATTTAATTAGGATTCTGATGATGAAGCAGAAACAGAAGAGGAGCCCCTCTGTCACTTGCCCCTTACACCAACAGAAGGTAGTGAAACTGACAGTGACAGCATGAAAGATTTTATAGTAGAGGAAGAGGAAGATGATGATGACAGCACAGAGCACATAAAGAGTGAAAACCAGGCACAACAGAAGGAACTAAATACATCAAATAGCGAGTTCCTGGCATACTACGTCCCACACTGTAAGATCAAAATTAGTGACAATTCTATATGTATAACTTGCTTGTAGTGCTGTAATAAATATTAATGGACTGCAAATAAAAATACTATGTCATAGGGTATGATAGTTTAAAAGCAGATTCCTAAAAGACTTCAATTTATTGTGGAAGTACTCCGATTTCCATAGTAAACTTTTACAGTCTTTCTGTATCTTATTAAAGGGAGGGTATAATCTGGGGGAAAGGAAGGGAAACCCTATTGCACAGATGTTTTTTTAAGTTGGTCTGATTTAGGATGAAGTAAGCTACCTATGATGCAGTCATTCCTGTGAAGACCTAAAAGCATCATCCTCCATCTTGTGATACATGCTAAGAGCAGCTATGTTAATTCTGGCCAAATTCTATTCTGGAGAATGATGTAAAATTCTTACCATGAGTTTGGGGGGTTGGGAGCTTGGGATTTTTTTTTTTTTTTTAATGTATTTTTATTCCATGGCGGTGTGACTTGGGTGCACAGGTCTATAGGGTTTTCTGAATTTGTTGGTCAATTTCAGCCAAACTGCACAGAGTGAGAAAACTTCAAGTTGACCTTTTATGAAAACTGGCAACAGGAGCAGAGAGATTTGAAACAGAACTTTATGCTAGTTATCTTCTGTATTTTGTTGCTCAGAAGCAGGTGTGTGCTGACTGGATAGTTGGTGCTAGTGTAGCTAGTCACAAGCATTTGTGGTATTTCTTCCCCAGTAAAGACCTGAGCAGAATTGTATGTAGTTGAAAGTAAGTTAGAAAAAAGAAAAAACAAAGGGAAAAAACCCCACCCCATAAGCCTGGCCTTCTCTGGTTTGCATTATTTCCTGCTACTCATAGAACAAATTATTCTCTTCTTTTAGTGTTTATAGCTCTTACTGTTGGCTCTTATTGCTGAAAGGATGTGTGACTTTAGGATGCTAAATTTCATTAAGATCACTGAGATAAGAAGCACTATTTAAAGGCAGGGTCTTAAGGGTGTGGATGGTGTACATTGAAATTATTTTAAAATCCGTATTTAAATTACTTTAAAATTCTAAATTTACAATAATGGAAGAAAAAATCTTCTCAAAGGACTTCTAACATTGCTTACATATTTTTCTTTTTTTTTTTTTTTTTTTTTTTGTAAATTCTGGTTATATTGCTTTCTTCCCAGTATCTCGCTGTGATCATTATGTACACTTCAGAAGAATAGTAAAGGCTTTCCTCATAAATGCAATTGACGACACTTTTCTGAGCTCATTATATGGTAAGTAAATTGCATTAAATAATATAATAGTACATTCAAAATTCTGCAAAGACATTTATTCTAGAGAAGGATGTGTCTCCTGATTAGAGTATAGGACTGTGAGTCCTGAGATCTGTTCTTTGTTTTGCTGCTCTGTACCTCGGGGTGGGGGGAATCTACCTGAAAAGGATAGAGTAATCTTGGAAAAATGTGTAGACTTAATTCTTTTAAGCCTAGAAGGCATTCTGAGATGTAAGGAAGTGTTTCTATGTTACTGATCAGTACTAACAGTTCCAGCATGAAAGCGAAATTAATTTCAAAGTAGGTATCTCAATGAAAACATAGCAAGGTCAGCTGATTTGTCAAAATGTTGCGTGCTTCATAGCTTTTTCTGAGGAATTTGGTAGATAACAATTATAGTTGTGGAGGTTACTCTGTATCTGATTTTTTGTTCTTTTCCTTTTTTTAACATTTGTGCTTTCAGATAAATAAATTTCAGCTGCAGTCAGTACTTCTTGTCTTGTTCTTGCTGAGGAAGTGGTTTTTGGCATTTGGCCTAGTGGGGCTCAATGGCAACCTCACATGTAGTTTCAGAAGCACTGTAAAGGTGGGATTAATGAGAACACTGTCTGTGTGAGGTTGTGGAATGAGTCAGCAAAGTGCCAAAGAGAGGAAGTTTTGGTGTCATCAGGAACCTAAGAGGGAATGGAGAAACTGAAGTACAGCACACACTTCAGAATAAAGCTGTGTATTCTTGGAGCTAAAAATGTCTTTCATCTACCACTGCTAGTTCTTCCAGTTGTTAGCGTTGTTTTGTTTTACCAAGTGAAAACAAGCTTATGAAAATAGTAAGTAAACTTTGTCAGATTTATGTGGTAATAGCTTCCTTCTATTTCAAATTGTATCTGCTCTACAAAACTAACAACTAATGCCAAGGTGCTGCAAGTAGATCAGCTATGTGGGTGAGTTGGAGGTTGTATTCTATCTTTCTGAAGAACATTGTACAGTATGAACATAGCCTAGCATTACAAAGATATATTTTTATAACACAGAATGGATTTTTCTGAGTTGGTGGAAGTGAATCTGTTAATTAGTTTGAATCATGAGAAGCTACTGTAGTATTAAGAGTTCAGACTTGCTTTTTCTTGTGAGGGATTTTTTTATGGTCTAGCACAGCCTCTTTGAGCTTTCAGTATAGCTGTATTACTGAAAATTTGTATGTGTAAAGTGCACATGGAAAAACAATTAATTGTAATTATGGTGGCTATAATGATAATAACAATTAACTGGTTTTATATAGAAAGCTAGATAGCCAGTAGTCTTTCTTCATTCTGTTTCTTTGATAACAGTGTTGCTAAAAGACTAGGGAAGGTAGCTGAATTAATTTGTATGTCTGTACATGCTGAAACTCGAGACAGTATGAATTGGCCTGCACCTATGAAAGTCCTGTTTAATTCCTGAAGTGTGGCACATATTTGGGAGACAGTTGTGGAAGAGTGGTAGTTTTACTCATCCTCATACTTGTTTATTTTTGCTTGAGTAAGTATTTGGAAGTACTTATGCTGCCTAACTGAAGGCATCTGACTGTGCTGCTGAAGTTTAAAGGTCAGTTGCTACATGTTCTTTATAAGTGACAAAGAGAGTTGTCAAAATTTCTGCTGGGAAGCAGCTCAGAGCAGTTTGTTTTCATGGATTGCAACCTCCACCCTTATACATTATGAACAGCTTACATAAGGTGTACAAAAAGCAAGATACCTGCCCCCCTCCTTTTCCATTCTTTAAATGGGATTGAGCGCATGGGTCTCTGTTTGGGGTGACAGCTTTTCACATTAGCCTTGACTGTAGAATTTATTCATGTACCTCTTGTGATACAGACTTTTAAAATAATTAAATATATCAGTTTATCAAAGATGCATGGATCACTTTTATGGATATCAGTAGCAAATGTATTTAGTAATAATTTATTAAATCATTCATAGTTCTTAGTATGCAGAAGCATAATGTCCTTGAAAATTTTATTTGAAGAAACTTGTATAACATAGGGTGGTCAGCAAATTAGTAATGACTCTCACTGAACAGAAGGAACAAGACAAAAGAAGTATGCACAAGATATGTTGCTCTCACTTCATTATTTGGATGACCGCTTCATTCAGCCTCGTCTTGAGAATTTAATCTCTAGAAGTCGCTGGAAAGATCGATACAAGGTATGTAGCTTCTACTTCAAATAGTGAAGTGGGCTCCAAATCATATTATTGCTGACATTTTTTTTAATACCGTAATTCTCTGTAAAGGTACAATAATCGCTATGATTATATATAGTTTTTTAATAGAAACCCTTTGTTTTTTAACTTATGTAACTTGTTTTGATACTTACAAATATCGGAAGTATTTTATGTGTTTGTAACCAGATAAACATTCAGGTAACAGAAGAGAATCTGTTCTCAGTTACCTGAATAGTTTTCCTGCTATCTTCAGCAGATGACTTTTTGAGGATTTTTTGTGACTTGCTAAATGTTGTAACAAAATTTCTTCCTTCTCCCACAAAAAGATAAACCAGTATGTTCATAATGAACCTTCTACTACTTCAAAAAAAATGAAGTCAATATACAGTAATCTAGTCACTGTATGTGAATTACTAGAATAGTGTTAGTGTGATAGGTGTGGTGATCTAATAATCACTGTAATAATGGAGTACGGCTGGGGGAGAGATACAGTGTATTTATTTGAAGCAGACCAACTGATATAGTTACACCCCCGACCCCTTCCAAAAAAAAAAAAAAAAAAAAAAAAAAAAAAAAAAAGGAGAGAGAGATACAAGAAAAATAAGTGCCAGGATGCAGGATCCATTCTTTAGGTCTGAAGCCAAAAGAAAGAGTTAATGAACTAGAGCTGAGTGAAGTGTTGGAAAATGTTTGAGAAGGTTTATGTTTGCAATTGAATGGTGAAAGACTTCAGATTTGAATCTCTTTGGTTTCTCTTGCACTAATTTTGTGTGAGTACAGAGTACTCAGCAGCCTATTTGAGGCATCCTTCAGTTTAAGAGATTCTTTAATGTTATTTGAAATCTCTTTTTCAGGAGCGTGTGGATTGTTACCCAGACATTCGCATAATCTTGAAAAATCCAAAAAATATGTCTTGTCAGGCCTGTGGATTGAATCGGTATTGTAAGTTTAATGTGCTGCTCTCTGGAAGGCTTTACAATAGTAGAACTTTGGAAGCAGATGACTTCATGTCAGATGACAAGCAGGTAACTTCAAACAAGCACCCTATATAATTACTTTTAAGCTTTGTCTGTTGTTACAGAAAATCATATAAAGAATAGAAATCCTATCAAGACATCTAATGTCTATAATGCTAGAGGCAAGAGTTAAGCTACTGTACTTCCATGTCTAAACCCTATTAATTTTTAAAATGTGAGGACCATTTTGCAGTTTGGAGTAGTATAGTCTTGGATTTAGCTAGGAATTATGAAGGAAGTTCCTATGAAACTGGAAAGGATGAGTAAAGGCATTCCTCTCCACCTTCCCCTCTACCCACCTTCATACTTTGTTATATGTTGGGAAAGAGGTAATGAAAAGTATCCTCAAATAAACCTAACTTTTATCAAGAAAATAAATCTTATTTTCCATGACTTTTGTTTTTGCCTGCATCACAACGATCAGTATACTGTTTCCTCCCTACTTTTGCCACTTAATATTAGTACCTGATGCAGCACATGTACTTGCACTGCGGTAAGGGCTAGTAAGTATACCCAACCATGAGCTGGACTTCATGATAAAGAGAAAGGGCTCTAAGACATACAGTATGGTTTATTGATAACTTTTGCCCTCGAGTCAAAATTGACATTTGCCTCAATTTTTCCTCTGCTTCAAATCTCTACAGTCTGAGTTTCATCCAGGGCAAGAAGGAAATTCTAGGTACATGGCATCCTACACATCCTACTCGGCATGCTTGTCTTTGGTGGTGCATGGGGAGGCAGTCTGAAACTGTGTTTCAGAGAGGCTGACAGCACACATTAAGATTAAGATTCACATACTAACCGAAGTTCTAATATGAGCGCTCAATCGGTTATTTCTGAAGTAGCTTTTTGCTTTGTCAGAGAACATATAATAGAAGATTGAAAATCCTAAAGCAACTGCATATCTTAAAGAAAGGAAAACCTGTGGTAAAGAAATTATGTGACTGAGTGATGCTCTGAACATGCCTGGCATTCCTGGTTTTCACCAAGTACCTGAGAAATACTATGCTGGTTGGGGTTTTTTAATCTTTAATAGATCCTACCTCCATATGCCAGGAGTCTGCGGCTTTAAATCAAAATGACATTTGCCTCATTTACATATATTCTAAATATCAGAATGCCTTTTCACTGAAGTTGGATCACTTGAAAGCCCTTTACCTTTGTGTGTGCCTATAATGCCCTTAAGACTTTCCCAGCAGGAATCTTGCATTGATTAGCTTTCAGAAACATTATAAAAGTAACTTTCTGTGTAATGGACAATCATCTCCATTGAATGATTGTGTTTTCTATTTTGTTGCCAGTAAGGTTTGTTCTACATTGGGTCACTAGGTTTGCTAATTCTGTGCCTACTATGCCTCTAGTTTTTGGAGCATCCATGTGCACTCCAGCAGTTCCTGTTTGCTCTAGATCAGAACATTGAGTGAAATAGTGCCACTGTCATCCTAATAGTCCAAGTGCAGCCTAGTCAGAATTTACTGCTTCATTCTTCAGATTTTTTCACATCTGCTATTTCCCATGTAGCTATTCACTCAGGACAAAGTATCTTGACATCTCAGTTGCATTGACACTTGAAATTGCTGATCTCCTTTTGAGAAGACTTGTTCCTAACTACTTCAGTACATTTTATTAGACCTTTTTCTCATTACTGCATTATCAGAACTACTTGTCCAACTAGAAAACATTCCCATTTAGGTAGCCTTGCATCTTTTTCTCACTCGGTTGTCTCTACTGGGACATTTTGGATTAAATTGTATTTTTGGAATGAAACACATCTTTCATGTTGTTACATAATGTTTCACCAGGCAGTTGTTTTGGATGACTTGAGCAATCAATTTTGTTACATTTCACAGCTGAGACTTTTGAAGACCTTTACTCTTAAGAACCTGGGTGTTCCTAATATTTGGGGATCTTCCCTTCAAATTTACAGCTACCAGTAATTGTTATGATTAGGTATGCATATGACCTTCTTAAGTAATGTAATTCCTGACCTCTTATGATAAACTCAAAGCACGCGATTTGTCAAGAATAAAATATTGCTACAGTTGTGTACCAAGCTGATACCCAAGTTCTGCCTTTCTTCCCTTTCAGGAGGTGTAGAAGGTATATTCCTTTTCTTTGTGACTGTAAAAGAATTTCTGAATACAGCTGAAGTTCCTCACAGTATTTGCTGAAAAGAAAAAAGTGTCAGAACAAGTTGTATTTACAACATATTTTGAAATGCGGTATAATAGGATTACTTATATGAAAATAAAGTGAAGCCCATCAAACTGGAAGTACACCTTACTGAAGAGCAAGCCCGTATTGTTTGGATCTTTGCAAATATTCTAACTTAGAGATTTGAGTGGTGTCAGTGTGATTATCATTATGTCATCATACTGGGCTCTGTGTATAATGCAGAATCTAGGAAAATCTGTGCCACAGTTTTTCTTAAATAGATTACAGACCCTTCTGAGCAGCAGTTGTTAATACTCTGTTTTGGTAAGTCTGTGTGTGCATGATAGTCAGGAGAGCTAGGCTTTTCCAGCAAGGCTTTTCCCCTTGTTTATTGCACTAAATCAGTAAGTCCTTGGCAGTCATACTAACACTGATACTGCAGTCCATCGTACAGTCATTATTCTTCATTAGATACAAGTCCCTAAATGTAGATCACTAATTAAAAATTTTCAGTTTTTCATGGCAAGTGTGTACCTTACCTAACCAGAAATAATAAGTGAACTAGCACAAGAATTTAATCTTTACTCAACTTCCAACTTCACTGTGGAAATAACAGTAGCAATTCCCTCACTGCTGTCCAAACATTGTCCTACATAAAGCTTTGGCTATTTTTTCACTTTGGAAAAAACTTGGACTATCCTACTGAATATTGAACGAACTTGCTAGTTCACTGTTGTCCTCTTCAGCTTAACGGTAGAAAATGAGAGCTTTTTTTTACCCTGTATACCCCAGCATCTGGTGAGATGCCTGGCATGTGCATGCTCAATATAGCTCAGGGGCTATAGAACAGACCCAGGAGAGAGAGTTACTGAGCACTTTCCAGTAATTTTTGATAGTGCCTTTGTAATGCAACATTTGTGTTCTTATGGTCATCTGTAATTTAGACTGCTAAAGGTACAGTTCTCAAGTAGTCTTTGAAGTTCTGCTGGTAACACACTGATCAACTTGTACTGCCAATTGAGAAAAAAGAAGAAAGGCACACAGAGCTACATAAAACTGGCACTTCAAGAAGTTAATTGACTGAAAGGGAAGGCAGTTCAGCACTGGCAGATCAGCTTGAATGGAAACACGTAGTTGGACTATTTTCTAAAGTTTTATTTGAAAATACCCGAGAAAAGTGGATGTGGAGAGAACAAAAACAGACCTCCAACCCTCTTCTTCTGCATAAAACTTTCCTTTTCTCTCATCTCTGAAGTATTCTGCTTTGCCAGTAGAAAGAGAAGAGAAACAGCTGTTCCATTTTTGCTTAGGCTTGCAGTGATTGTTCTGTGTGTAGCTGCCAATTCTCATTCCTCCATGGTCAGGGAGAATCGAATGGTTTAGAGATATGGATGCCCCCCACACTTCTTTGCTCCTGTGTCACCTGGATTATGAACTGTTTTCTGCTCTCAGTTTTGGTGTTCTACTTCCGTTTATAATCATGCTTAGAGGACATGGGTTCAGTCACTACATGTTGTGCTGTTGTCAGGCTATGCTCCTGCATTCCATACAAAGTGATTTAACACAACTTTGGCTGATATGACCAGCTTGAGTAGATAAGTTAAGCATTAGGACAGAGTCACTGAGAACTGTGAGAGGAAAAAATTAGAAGTACAGTACTGAGATTCTTTCCAAAGCTGCGTTCCGAAATAGTATTGTATTTTTAGACAATCTTTCTTGCTTTAAAAACACAATACTTAATTACATTATAGGATATTTAGCTATTTGCCTCTGGCATTTCTCCAGCATAGAAATACTTTACACCTCGCACATAAATGAACTGTGAAACTCATTGCCACAAGATACTTTGGAAGCAAAATGTGTTAGTGGGTCCCGAAAGGGTTTAGACAGGTTCTTGGGGAAGCTTCTCCCACACTATGGAACACGATAGTTGGGATGATACAGACTGTCTTGACTGTTGACTGCTAAAAGCTGTATGGTAATGTTATAATCATTCTGGTGTTCGTCTTGCATCTTGTACTAAATTCCTAAATATCTCCTGTTAGCTGTTGTTGCAGGGGAAGAACTGGGCCATCAGTTTGATGCAAGATGGTATCTCCTATTTTACATCACATAATGTTCCATATGCCACACCTCATTGCTTGGGGTACTTGAAAAGTTATGAAATGTTCTATGAAACACCGCAGCTCAGTTCTTGAATGTTTCAGTATTTGAAATGGTACTTCTGGAAATTTGAATGAATCAGGGTTATGCGTTAGTTGGTAGGTCTTGGACTTCAGAAGCACCTATAGCACCAAACATAAGCCTTAGCTTTTCAGTTTTGGGGAGAGTAGAAGATGAGCTGCATATAGGTACATGTACATGATCAGTAGAGAATTGCAATATAGTAATAGGAATTTTTAATCTCAAGATGGTTAAAATTTCAGTTAATAACCACCTACTGTAGGTAAGATCAAAAGTTCTTTTAAGTGAGTGTCTTTTGACTTCAGTGGTATTATGCCTGCTTGTATCAGTTGAGCTGCTGGTTAATATATTTAAGAAATAAAGTTCATTCATGTATTTAAGAAAATATATAAATAATACATATAAATATAGATTTAGCTTATATAATCATTATAAATATAAATATGCTTTTCTGTTACTGTCATTGTCAGTAGATACTGCTAAGGCTAGGTTGTATATGTAGGTGAGGTGTTTTGGGGAACTGCTCACAGATGCAAACGTTTGGTCATGCATTCGGAAAAGCTTCCTGAAAACATGGGTTGTAAGCATTGATCAAAACTTAAACTTCTCATAATTTAAAAGAGTATTCAGATTATCACTGATGGCAGCAATAAAGGCTATCACTGCTGCGGCTCAGGAGAGATCATTTTGCAATATATAACATGGTTGGGTTTTCTGATATATATATGTGTGTGTGTAATCTGAAATAGCAATACAATTGCAGTTTGCATTACTGATGCAAAGAACTTTGACCTTTAGCCATTTACCTGCTTGTTACTTGTGAAGGTGTGACAAGACATCTGTCCAAAACAATGCTGCCCTTGAAGGATAAGTTGATGGGTTGGTTTGTTTCTTTTTAAGTAAAACTAAATCACTTTCTCCTGTATGTATCAGGAGCTGAATTTCTTTACGCATGTATGAGAATCATAGAATGGTTTGGGTTGGAAGGGACCTTAAAGATCAGGTAGTTCAAACCCCCTTGCCATGCACAGGGACACCTTCCACTAGACCAGGTTGCTCAAAGCCCCATCCAACCTGGCCTTGAACACTGCCAGGAATGGGGCATCCACAACTTCTCTGGGCAACCTGTTCCAGTGCCTCACCACGCTCACAGTAAAGAATTTCTTTCTAATATCTAATCTAAATCTACCCTCTTTCAGTTTAAAACCATTGCCCCTTGTCCTATCACTACACTCCCCGATAAGGAGTCCCTCCCCATCTTTCCTGTAGGCCCCTTTTAAGTACTGGAATGCCGCTATAAGGTGACCCCAGAGCCTTCTGTTCTGGAGGCTGAACAACCCCAACTCTCTCAGCCTGTCTTCACAGGGGAGTTGCTCCACCCCTCTGATCATCTTCGTGGTCCTCCTCTGGACCTGCTCAAGCAGGTCTGCGTCCATATGTTGGGAGCCCCAGAGCTGAACACAGTACTCCAAGTGGAGTCTCAGAAGAGCAGAACAGAGGGGGAAAATCGCCTCCTTCAACTTGCTAGCCCCACTTCTTTTGATGCAGCCCAGAATGCAACTGGCTTTCTGGGTTGTGAGCTCACATTGCTGGCTCATATTCAGTTTTTCATCCACTATTACCCCCAAGTTCTTCTCCTCAGGGCTGGTCTCAATCCACTCATCACCTGTATTTGTGCTTGGGATTGCCCCGACCCATGTGCAGAGCCTTGCACTTGGCCTTGTTGAGCTTCATGAGGTTTGCATGGGCCCACCTCTCAAGCCTGTCAACGTCCCTCTGGATGGCATCCCTTCCCTCCAGTGTGTCAACTGCACCACACACCTTGGTGTCATCAGCAAACTTGCTGAGGGTGCACTCAATCCCACTGTCCATGTTGCCGACAAAGATGTTAGACAGCGCTGGTCCCAGTGCTGACCCCTGAGGAATGCCACTTGTCACTGGTCTCCACTTGGACATCAATCTGTTGACCGCAACTCTTTGAGTGTGATCATCCAGCCAATTCCTTATCCACCGAGTGGTCCATCCATCAAATCCATGTCTCTCCAGTTTATAGACAAGGATGTTGTGCAGGACGGTGTCAAATGCTTTGCACAAGTCCAGGTAGATTACGTCAGTTGCTCTTCCAATTAATGATGTTGCTTTTAAGTGTAGAAAACCTGACCTCCAAAAACCGGTGAGATGAAGATTTCTTACCTGACAGGCTTTGTCTCCGTGGGCTGGAGTAGTAATCAGTGCACCTATGGGTCATTTACAGGGATAGATTCCTCTTCTGATTTGGCATTGTATGTACTTGAACTATTTGTCTTGTAGAAATGGAACAAAACTTACTCTTGTGAAATGCAGGATGTCCTTAAATGCAGATGAACTTTTGACTCTTTCTCCCTCCCCACACCTTCAATTTCATACACTCTAGTGAAGATTTGGGATTGCCAGAGGTTCTTATAACCCATATATTACTCAGTATATTCAGGTAAACACCTTCACTGCATAACATCTTTGCATAAAATGTGAGTTTAAGGTATGTGCAAATACTTGCCTGTATTTAATGTTAGAGCTGATAGATGATAATCAATCTACTCTAATCCATGCTCTGATTATGTATTTACATGTGTATTTATCCTTTGTTTATCTATAAATACTGCTGTAAAGAAAACTGTTAAATAAGACAGCTCTGTCTTTTCTGCATGGAAATTATAGAAGTAAAACTGGTAATAACTGGAAGATGCAGAGGCATTATGGCCTAGCTATACCTCCCAGACAGTTGCAGATCATACAGTTTGCACTGTATAAAACCTAGGTTTTCAGATTTTATTTTTATGAAATCCAATCTCTTTATATATTTATTAAATATATGATTCTAGGCATATGTCTACTTGGATTCATTGTATTTCTTGAAGAAATATTGATTATTATTCAGTCTACAAAATGCTAGAACTGGTATTTCATGTCCCTAGGAAGTACTGTATATTAAGCAAAAGTAATCAAATAATTTCTCTTCCTCAGCTTTCACAATATGATGGTTGTCTAAAATGTTAGTGATTTTGTAACAAAGTTCCACTAGGAGATAGGAAAGATACTACCAATTATAAACATGGTTGCGTTTGCAAGAAAACAGTACTGATAAGCTGCCATTGCATAGGCTTGCTGGCTGCCTGCTTGCTCAAAAATTGTTCTGCTGTGGCTGTGAAAACTACATCGTTTTGCACTCATTTTATGCATGTAATGTGTCATTCTGTTTATTTCATTTTTAAAAAAATCTTCCTAGACTGATAAAGTCTTACTAGACTGACTTAGCCATTCTTTATATTGTCAAGATAATCACAGTGCTATCGGAGAGAATGATTTGTTCACTTTGGCCTAGGTTTTGAAGGTTGGCGTGGTGTGTGCAAATCGTACAAGAGTTTATCATAATTTGAAGCACTTCAAATACAAGTTGTACGTGGATTGCAGCTCCATTACTGAGTTGGATGGTGTTGAGGATGAACCAGTCAAAGACACAGTCGAACGGCTGTTCAGCCAGTTGGAAGACAGTGGGTGGATTCAGAAGGTACAACTGAGTTATTTGATCTATCCTTTTCCAAGTAGATAGAAGTAAGCTGAGATAAAATGTCTGATTTAATTGATCAGTTCTGAATTACTGGGCTTAAACAATATAACTCAGCTTAACCATTCATCCGCTTCGGCTGACCCAGTCTCTCAAACAGTGGTATGCTGGCTGCATTCACACAGAGTTTGTGTCAGCTTGCGAGATGAAGCTTTCGGACAGCTGCATGATCTCTGGGCTGTGGTGGGCCAGCTCCTGTTTCATTTGAAAGCAGTGACACAACAAACTCAAGCTGTAACTCAGAGAGATTGGAAACATGTACGTGAGGCACAGCAAGAATATTTTACTCTTCTGTTTACGCTGAAGTACTTTGAATTATTCAGAAACACTTTATGAACTATTTCAAGACAACTTGTACAATTGCATTTAGCAAGCTTTCAGGTATCGTTGCTTCTGAATTGTTACTGGAATGCTTGTTACTGTATTGAAGAAAAAGAAAAAGCAGTCTTTATGTAATTAATTTATTAAACATTGGTAAAATAATACAGATTTTATTTTATTTGCAGAGATATAATGATCTTGAAGACTACATGAATGATGCAGACAGTTTCCAAGAAGAGAAAATTGATTAAGTGGTCGTACAGATCTTTGAAAGACATCTTGTAAAAATTTGAATGGCCTGCTTTATCTGCATGTGCTTTCCCTCTGCTTGGTCTTCAATATTCTTTTTAGGCTGTGTTATACTTAAATCCATATGCCTTTAAACTACTGTTTGAGAATGTGCTGTGGTGTATCTTTTTTTCACATCTGTGTCAATAATAACCCAAAGTTTTACCAAATTAGTCCTTCCAGTCTTACTGCATAGGTCACTTTAAGTTTCCTCCTGTTCTTAAAAATAACATCTTGATACCTGTTTACTTAAGAAATAATTTTTCCACCTATTTATATTGAGCTGCATCATAGGGAAGGTAGGAGATGCTGAGACGTTTTGCAGTAGGTATATTTGGAAAGGTAAGGCTGTGTTATACAAGAATGTATGACTTGCATCTTACCTTCCTTGTTGCTCATTACATGCAAGTAAGTCCAACCATTTAGAATGATAGTTACAACAGACAGGACCCAAATGCAAAGATCTATTTCCCCTCTGAGGAATCAGTATAGACTGTTGCAAGGCAACAGAGCAAATATTCTGCAGTCCTGACTACATTTGCAGCACAGTAGTCATTCCTCTCTTTAGAGAGTAGGTGATGAGTCACATTATAGGCGTCATACAGACTGAGTCTGGCTTAGCCATCTAAATGAGCACTTGGACCCACAGTGCTGTCTCCAATAAGCAGCTGAGGCAATTTACTGAGATCTTAAACATCAAATTACATTGTGCAAACATAACGGCCACAACTTCAGGTAACTAAAAAATTAAGAGAATGGATTAATGTGGCCATGCCAGATAAGCAAGATTTCTTCCAGTGTAACTTAACAGAAGGCAGGAGTTACTCAGAATCATGATGCATAGCTTACCTGAATTGCATGAAGCCCAAGTCAGAGTTCTTTGGGGCCAGGGGAGTAGATTTTTGAGGAGTTAGGAAGGTTTAAGTACTGTATTGTCCATTCTGAAAAAATTGGACATGAGCTGGCAATGTGCACTTGCAGCCCAGAAAGCCAACCATATCCCAGGCTGCATAAAAAGAAGCGTGGCCATCAGGTCGAGGGTGGTGATTCTGCTCTCGTGAGACCCCACGTGAGAGCTGTGTTCAGCTCTGGGGTCCGCAGCATAAGAAAGACATGGACCTGCTCGAGCAGGTCTAGAGGAGGGCCACAAAAATGATCAGGGAGCTGGAGCCCCTTTC